CCAAAGACTTATGCAATCTCTCTGTCTACATTATGAAAACAGCTAAAACAAATGAAAAATATTATAACTAATAAATTAAATTATAAAATAAAATTCTATAAATTCCTAGTAATTCCAAATGGCAATAGCCTATTTCTCTATTAAAAGAAATCATTCTAATATGCTGATTTGCTGCTCGAGAAACATTTCTTCTTATTAGCAATCTTGAAAACAGTTATACTGCTTAATATTTTTTGTGGAAACCATGATACACTTTTTTCAGGATGAGACAGTTTTTTGAGCTTCATTTATTAGAAATAGACATCTTTTGTAACAATGTAAATGTTTTTGTTGTAACTTTTGATCAGTTTAATGTTATCTTTCCTCAATACAAGTTTTGATTTCTTTAAAAAAACAAAAAACAATAATCTAATAAAATTATATGTACTAAAATCTAATAATTTTAATATATACAATTATTTATAAAATGATTATTAATATTTTATTTATTTATTTTCTATCTATTTGTCTACCTTTTTACTTAGTAATACCCTAACATGAATATGGCGAACATTTTACCATATAATTTATTAATTTAAGGGCAAATATGAACATAAAGACTTTTAAACTGGATTTATTAACCTTTAATGGCTAAAGTCTTCAACTTTGAATGAACTTAATACTGTTACCAAGTACATAACACCTATATATAAAAGTAAGACAGACTGGACTTACCACAATCACATAAAAATATCACGCCACCCCCTGAACGTATTTAACTTTCGTATAACTCACAGTGGAAGTCCGACCTTCACAGCAAACTGTCATCTCCTCAGTGCCTACCGAGAGAGTATTTACAGCATCCAAACTCCACCCGTCAACCCCCAAATCTTTGTCATGCTCCCAGTTCTCTAGTTACTGGAAGTCCGTTTTCCCTTTTGGATGGGACTGTGGACATTATGATTAAGTGCATCTCTGTTATTTTGTTCTTTTACTCATCACCATGGAGTGAGGTCATGCTCAGACTAAGTTGTCTGGGGCCTAAGGGAAAGACACTGAGTGAAGAGTAACCTTACACTGGAAGTCCAAACTCAAAACACACACACACACACACACGGATGAAAAGCTCTCACCCCCTATCTTGTCATAGCCTAATCTCCCTTAAGATCTTCCACCAAGCAAGGACAATGAGTCATAGTTCTTGGAGTTTTAACAACAAAATGACGCCTAATAAGAAAAGGCAAAGACATACAGTAATGCATGGCCTTTGGATGCTGACTTTAAGATTGGCACTATAAAGCCGTCATGCAAAACCAGAATAATGTTTTAGGAGTTTAAAAAGATAGATTAGAGGAGAAGCACACTATCGCCAAATATACATTGCAGAGGTGCTTCTGAAGTGCCATTTAGGTGTCATTACATAGACTGCCTAATGCTGCTCAGAAGTGGCATAAATGCATTTACACAGAAGCAAATGCTACTGTATGCTTTGGTACTAGGTGCTAAGGTTGGTCAGAGCAGGCTTAATTTAGTATGGCTTTTATGTGGCATTACATCTTTGCACAGAATTTTGAGCAGGCATAGAGCAGCCTTAACTTGGCTGTGTAAAGATGCCTTATTTAGAGGTGCTTCCTACATACACAGGATTTTGAGGCTCATTTCAGATAGGAAGGCTGTTACAAACTGCTTCAAAAGACATCTTTACACAGCTGAGTTAAGGCTGCTCTGTGCCTGCTCATAATTCTGTGTAAAGATGTAATGCTGCATAAAAGCCATACTAAATTATGCCTGCTCTGGCCCACCTCAGCCCCTAGTATCAAACTACTGTATAAAGGTGCAATTGCTGTGTAAATGCATTTATTCCACTGAGCTGCATTAAACAGACTGTGTAAGACACCTATAACAAATTTACACAGCAAAGGTGGCACAGAAGCGCTTCTGAAGTGCCATTTAGGTGTCTTTACACAGACTGTTTATTGCTGCTCAGAGGTGGCACAAATGCATTTATGCAGCAACTGCACCTTTGTGCCTACATGATTTGTTTTCAGATTGTATAGGGTTTACTGGGGTGAGTTCATTCTCAATCTGAATTTCCTATAATTCCATGCAGGTTCTTTGGCACCTCGATATCTTCAGACAAAGTCTTCGTCAGATTCCAAACCACTACTGCTTGGGCGACTCCTGCATCTTTTGCGCTTTGAAGGTATTCTCATGACCAAACACATCATGAAGTGGTATTTAATACTTTCTTTAAAAAGATGTTATAGTGTCAAAAGTTTGAAAGCACTTCATGTTCGTTTTGCAGGGAATATTCTGTCAGTTCCAGCACAGCCGAGAGCGAGCGTTACCCTCAGATAACCTGCGTAATGCCCTAGCCGAAACCTTTAAGGATGAGCAGCGCTTTCAGTTAGGCTTCATGGATGATGCTGCTGAGTGCTTCGTAAGTGTCTTTGTGTGTATTTTTGTATTTTATATTATAAGTGTGTGTGTGTGTGTGTGTGTGTGTGTGTAATTTTTTTAT